AGTCATAGTTATTAATATTCTGCATTGTTGTTTGTCCTGCTTGCGCAGCGCGCTGAAGAGATAATTACCGTAGTTCTACAATGAAGCACTTGATTCAACCAAATGCATCTTATACGAGATAAATAATATATACACGATATATATAAACAGGTGTCCTGACATTTTATCCAACCCGTCAGATTGTCCTACCAGGGTTTACTGCGCATGCACACATCAATATTGCGTCCTTATTCTCATGCTGAACAACAATATTTAAAGTATCTGCATTACTGTAAGGGTAGGTTTAGGGTTGGGGTAGGTGTATGTGTAGACTTTAATAAAACACAATCTAATAGGTAGAGAAAATTATTTATAGTTGGTTTCCTGTAGCTTTCCTGTTCCTTCTAGCTACAACCGCGAATATAACACATAATTACTGTATTTGCATTACTGTAAGGGTAGGTTTAGGGTTGTAGTAGGTGTAGACGCATAATTTTACTAATTTTACAGGTAGCATTTTTCGTTGTCGAATTGTACTACCCACTGTTTTAATGGGAGGCTGACAGGGTTCGAAAAAATCCAGTCTTTCACTCTGTGTCAGTTTGAGTCTTGTTAAAGTTTTAAATGAATCTGCCATCTCATTATGAACTTCAGAGCTGCTCTGAGAGTTTAATTCATGAGCATTTCACCATTTAATTTGATAACATTTGATCATCACATAGGCCTGGGCGATAAAACGGTATCGGTATTTATCGACGGTACACCTTCATCGATAACGTTAGAAAAAATGTTCGATATAGCGCACGATATAGGCACGTGCTTTGAGTGACGCAGACAGCCCACGAACACATTCTGAAATGAGTGTGCCTGCCTGTGATGAGGAGATTGTGAATAAAGAATAAATATTAGTCTAATTTAAAATAAAAAAATTACATTTGAATGCAAAAACGGTGCAATCGAATGTTATGTGTGCGTCCGGGAGCCTTATCAGTGGCGCACGAGATGCGTGATAATGATGTAAGTGACGTTGTTGTATTTTAATGTTTTGTTAGTCTAGCCCAAAATGTTTTGAAATCACTTGTACCCTACCTGATCGAAAAAATCCAGTCTTTCACTCTGTGTCAGTTTGAGTCTTGTTAAAGTTTTAAATGAATCTGCCATCTCATTATGAACTTCAGAGCTGCTCTGAGAGTTTAATTCATGAGCATTTCACCATTTAATTTGATAACATTTGATCATCACATAGGCCTGGGCGATAAAACGGTATCGGTATTTATCGACGGTACACCTTCATCGATAACGTTAGAAAAAATGTTCGATATAGCGCACGATATAGGCACGTGCTTTGAGTGACGCAGACATGCGCCGCTGCTGCGTTATGTGTTCAAAATATTAGAGAAATATAGTAGCTCAATGCGGAGAAGATCTTAATTAGGTTAAAACCGAAACCAAGCCATTCACACAGAATATTCAGCACATTTTTTAGACGGACAAATATGACTGCTGCACTCGCGTCTCACACAAGAGGTGTAGCCATGCAAAGTTAAAAAAAGTTAAAACTTTTAGAAAACACGTCGCAAATTTGTGAAGGTTTCTTCCATTTCACTGCATCTTTTATGTTTTTAAATGCAATCTGTGTGAATGGCGCTTCGGCTCTTTGTATTAAGCAATGCATAAATACATGATGCTGTGTTGTTCATAATTGTTTATGCAATTTACGAATTTATTTTAATTTTTGCTCATTGCGCCCTCCTGTGGCCTCGGGAGACAAGACAAAAGTTTCTTTAAGACTTATTTAAACTGCATATAAAACATAAGAAAGGAGATATTTGTTTAAATTTTATTTTGTGTTTGACTGTTAAAACAAAACAAAAAATATTTGTTGTCTTAATAAATTGGGTAAATGAAAAATACAGTGGTTAAATTCTATTGCTCTTTATTTTAAAAAGGGTTATAAAAAATGTCAATAATTATCGATACTGAACGATATGAAACATATCGTTGATAAATTTTTTTAGCTATATCGCCCAGCCCTATCATCACACAGAAACTCAAAGGCTTCAATGAAACTCAAGGAAAAAATAAAAGTTTGGGTTAACTTGAAGAAATTGTGGCAAAAGTATTTTACTATCGTACAGTGGAATGTAGTTTTCAAAGTAATAATAATAATAAAAATAATAAAACGGTTTATTAAAAAATTATTTTTAGGGGATATCACAATTTTTCTTCCATGTAAGCTGTAAACCTATGTTGTAGAGTACTTTGAGAAAAACTGCAAGGAACTGTTCAAATTTCACTGAATTACTTTTTAAAAGATTAATGAAATGGTTAAAGTTGTATGCATTCATTTGATTAGCACCATTTTTGATTATAAATTTAATTTAAATCATAAAGAATCCAGAAAAATAAAAACATCCTATGTTTATTTGACCAAAACTCAAAAGGGCAGAAAGCAGTTATTTAATTACAGCATGACACGGCTCTTTGAATTTTTCAGAAATTTGCAAACGCAACGCTACACTTAGCAACTGACCTTCACTTCCAGTTCCCTCGTGAGTCAGTCAGTGCCGCATTTCAGTGTAGACAGTGATGGAGTGGCTCTTGTTTGGCCCTGGTCCTGGATTCAACAGTACCATAAAGCGAGGCGTAAGCCTGGCGGGGAAAAAAACTCAGAATGATTCATTGCTTTTACAGTCCCATAAACTCTGATCCATCAGAAAGTGACAAGGCTGCCACCGCAAATTCACTAGCCATTTTTTGCTGATGCTGCCATGTATTTGGGCCCCTTGCTGAGTCACGCCAGCTTGAAAGGTGATGGCTAAATGCCTGATAGTCTTGACACATCAGCATTTGTTCAGCTATTCACAGGCCTGTTGCCTGCCAGCCAGAGTTCAGTGGTTCAAAATTGTTGTTCTCCTCAGAGGCTTGTGCAGTTACTAAACATTTAGTGGACGCTTTTATCCAGTGCCACTTATAGTACACTTATTACAGGAGCAAGTCCTTCTGGAGAAACATGAAAGTAAGTGCCTTACTCAAAGGGACAATGGTGATAATTCATGATTTGCTTTTTGTTGTGATCAAAGCAGCTATCTTACTGTTAGCAGAAGGCCGGTATCCATATGTTATACGATTATTGTCATGATCATAAAAATTGCATAAACGATTACAACTAATCATTACTTTAAGAACTTTAAGATAGATCTGTAATATGTTTGTGTCTGTGTGTGTGTTCACAGTTTCTGTGCGGACTGTCTACAGCCGTGTCTGCAGGTGACATCGCCTCTCTGTCCACTCTGCCGCATGCCTTTCGATCCAAAAAAAGTGGACAAATCCTCCAGCCTGGAGAAGCAGCTCTCTTCATATAAGGCACCATGTAGAGGGTGCAGCAAAAAGGTTTGTCCTTGTGCTTGCGCAAACAAATACGAATTTAAAAAAAAACTGGGTATAGTACCACAAGGCATGTTCCTCTGAACAGTGCAGCTGTCATTATGTAAGGCATTTACACTAAAACTTGCTTCAGGGACACTGTAGCACGACATCGAGTCTCTCCTGCAGGAGAGGAACAGTTTAATGGTAAATAAAAATTAAAGCAAAACAAGCACAGCCCAGCAACTACAATCTGACACACTGAGATGCCCTGATTGCCATTGCGAGCTCAGAAAGACCCTTTTAACCCTTTTATTGTGTTTGTGCTCACTGTTTTGTGTTTGCATGATTTGACACAGCATTTTTTTTTTTAGATATGTTAGTTTTATCAAGTCAGCAAAACATGACTGCTGGATTTAAAAACATGACCAGCAAGGGTCACATTTACACTGTTTACAGTACAGTACATAATTGCAAGTTAAATGCCCTAATCAAGGTGTCATTTGTACTAAAGTATCCCTATTATGCTATTTTAAAGCTTTCTAGTTATGTTTTGAGATCTGCTAAAATAGGTTTACATGCATCCAAGGTCAAAACAAAAATCTAATAATATACATTGCAGCATCACCTCCAATAATGACTGCTGAATAGTAAAAACTTACCCAAACAATAATGGCACATACGTTAGCCAAGCACTATGCCATTAATTAGTGATTTTGTAAACCAAAATCCTGCTCCACACTTTTACTCTAGGTAGTAAGAATGACAGACAGTCTTCATTAGTTGACACAAATTTAGGTCATTGTGGGAAGATTATCAGAAATATTTCAATACAATAATTAAAAATTAAAATTAATTTCAACCACTGTTTCTTTATATCCTCATCCTTTGGGAAAACATGCATCTTGGTTTTACTTTGGCAGTGCAGAACACAGTGTCTTCTAGACATTGCAACAACACAAACTGAACAATCGTCCAGGCCTTAGCTACAACCACAGTGTTTGGGGGCAGGTCAAAGTACATACAGTATGAAGACCAAAAGCCGGTTTACGAATTTAGGTTTGCAACGGAAGGAAGTCTTCAAATTGCTGATGACTGGTTTCAGGCAGTTCAGGATTGGTTCTTTCTTTTGAGAAATAATAACAACATTTGTCGTGCACTTTGATCTTTGCAGACCTTTTACATTCACAAACAGCTATATAACTCACTACGTGATAGGTAATATCCGAAAAAGCATAATAGGGGCACTTTAATCACAGCGCAAGTTACTCACTTTGCTTTATTATGTCCCTTTGAATATCCCAGGTCACCCTGGTCAAAATGCGGTCGCATATTTCATCTTGCACAAAGGTTCAGGAACAGATGGCCAATTGCCCAAAGTTCATGCCTGTGGTCCCCACCTCACAACCCATTCCCAGGTAAGCATTGCTCCACGAATCATTTAAGGTCAGGTTGACATAATCATGGAAAATTGTTTTTCTCTTCATCAATTGCCTCGATTTTCTCATCATCAACTTTTTTTTGTTTTGTTTTGTGAACACTGCATGTTAGTGTGACTACACTTTGGAAAGAAAAATGTGTTTGTCTGTAAATGTCTGTAAATCAGTTAAGTGAATAGGAAGGTAATGCACATATCTGAAAAAAGTATGATGCATTTGTTGTGTTCAAAATCTAAGATCATGACAGTAAAATTATAGCTATATGATATTAAAGTTATAATATTTTGAGAATAAAGTAAAAAATTATGTGAATAAAGTCATAGTATTAGGAGAATAATAGCAATATGAGATTAAAATGATAATATTTTTGTTATATTAGTGGCATTGTCAACTAAATTGTGCAGACTCGTATTGGCCACGGTGACTAATTTGGCCTACTTCCCTGCTAATTTTCATTTATTTATTTACTTAGGGTATTTATTATTACTTTAAATTATTGCCTGCACAATTCACTCAAGGTTTTTCTGAATTCAGGACTATAATATTTTGAGAATAAAGTAAAAAATTATGTGAATAAAGTCATAGTATTAGGAGAATAATAGCAATATGAGATTAAAATGATAATATTTTGATTATATTAGTGGCGTTGTCAACTAAATTGTGCAGACTCGTATTGGCCACGGTGACTAATTTGGCCTACTTCCCTGCTCATTTTCATTTATTTATTTACTTAGGGTATTTATTATTACTTTAAATTATTGCCTGCACAATTCACTCAAGGTTTTTCTGAATTCAGGATTCAATGTGAAAACAAAAGTAATGAATGATGTATCCGCTTTAGCCTTGACTTGCAATGCTATCATTTGTCTCATCTTCTGTGAACAGTTTCTATAGTAAAGCACTCCACGCAGACACAGTGAAATGCAACAACAACACGGGTGGCGTTTCTCTATGGCTTTTCTCTGCACCTTAGCTCTTAAGAGGGATTTCGATGTGCAAGGTTGAAAAGAAATGTTCCTTTTCTATGTGTGTTTCACAAAAATGCACTTCACGTGAATGTGCGAGTACGAACTTAAGTCTCTGTCAGTTAATGAAGTGCTTAAATGTCAATCACTAATTTTTACGTTATTATGGCTTACAACTTTTGGTGTAATGTTAAAAAACACTTGTCATTTACCTGACCAAAGACATAGTTTTCCTAAATATTCAAGGTAATTATCTACATAATAAATATATATATATATAGATATATATATAGATAGATAGATAAATAAAAACATTTAATAATTTATTTTCTCTATGGCTTTTCTCTGCACCTTAGCTCTTAAGAGGGATTTCGATGTGCAAGGTTGAAAAGAAATGTTCCTTTTCTATGTGTGTTTCACAAAAATGCACTTCACGTGAATGTGCGAGTACGAACTTAAGTCTCTGTCAGTTAATTAAGTGTTTAAATGTCAATCACTCATTTTTACGTTATTATGGCTTACAACTTTTGGTGTAATGTTAAAAAACACTTGTCATTTACCTGACCAAAGACATTGTTTTCCTAAATATTCAAGGTAATTATCTACATAATAAAAATATATATATATAGATAGATAGATAGATAAATAAAAACATTTAAAAATGTATAATTATTGAAACAAAAGTTTTACACAGATTTAAGACTTAACTGCTTCAGAGACTTTCACCAATCAAGCAATGCTCTTTGATGGTCAAAGTGATTATGATGACAGCTCAACACTTTAGTGCTGGTGAAAACACCTTTGGTTATAAAATGAAATGAAATTATTAAGGGTTCATTCTCATTTGGCCTTATTAGCTGTCTAGGCCACTAGGCTTTGGTGCCTCTCTTCTTCATAGGTGGGAGTGGAAGGGAGCTGGAATGAATTTAAAGGGTTAGTTCACCCAAAAATGAAAAATTCTGTCATTAAAAATATCTTAAATTGTGTTCCGAAGATGAACGAAGGTCTTACGGGTTTCGAACAACACGAGGGTGAGTAATTAATGATAGAATTTTCATTTTTGGGTGAACTAACCCTTTAAAAGTTAGAAATACACACAAAATAAATAGTGCTATCACTTTACCAACATTTGCTTTATTGTTCTTATAAATAAGTCAGTTAATAGCGTAAGAGCCTACTTTAACTATTAGAACATTTCTTATTATTGTTTTTATGTTAAATACGTGTGATGAATGAAAGGTTGAATGCCACAGACGTTTTGCAGTTTTTTTTGTGGAATTTTCACACCGTCTCTTATGTAAGGATGGCATTTAAGAGGCGTTATATTTTTGTAATGTATTTGTGCTAGTGCTAACTTTGTAAGACTGTCACTTCCAGATGATCCAGGAAGTTGAATATCCAGCCAAACTGAAACTAACTTTACTGCACAGATTGAACTTTTAATCCTCCACATCCATGCTGCTGGTATGGCATTCTATTCATTGTGATAATCATACTGTATCTTGTAATAATGTGGTTATTTTTCTTTACTCCAAATAATTCATTTTATAACTATAATATTACACGTTTAATCTAAACTTTATTCTCAGACTTTATTCTTAAAATATTACTACTTTAATTTTGTATTATCTTGTACTAAGGCTTCACAATACAAACATATTTTGTTTCTATTCCTTAGTTTTTGTTTAATCCAAAACAAATAAAAATAAAAAAGCACTGAATAATTTTTTTTTTTACTTGTTTTTTCCCCCACATTATTATAGGTGACTCTGCCAACAGTGAAATCTCAATGATTAAAAATCCACCAACACTTTATTTTGATGGTCCCTTTTGAACATTCTGTTGACAATAAGTAACATTGCACCGACATATCAGCTAACTCTCATTAGAGTATTAATAGACTATCTGCTTAATATCTGCTAACTCTTTATTGTGATGGTCTCCAAACAGACATTCTACTGACTATAAGTAACTTTTCAAGTACACGTCAACTTCATCTAACCCTAACCCTACCAGTCAACTAATACTTTACTAACACTAGTGAGACTTAGTAGTTATGTAGGTGCAACGTTACTTATAGTCAACAGAATGTGTTAAAGGGACCATCCAAATAAAGTGAAACCAAAAATCCTGCTTTAAAATCCAACTCCATTGTATATGTAACATCAAATATGAAAATATTGCATGATGCAACATCATCACGGCCAATTAGGACAGTTTCAGTCAGGACAAACAATAGAATTATGCCACTTTCTCCCTACATTAAAGAGCAACCAATCCCACAAGTCTCTCTTAGGCAAATGCTGCCTAATGACTCATGCTTCTCTGAAGCACTCAATGCTCTTTGGGACTACAGTTAAAATGCAGCGAAGAGCTTTAAAATATGGATCCAGGACGTGTTTCATTCTTTACAGATACTCTTTAGACCCACACACTAACGGTGTAGGTATACTTAGATCTAGAGATGTCAAACTGATGTCTGACAGTTAAAGACAGACAGAAAGTTTTGCAGGCAGGAATCCGATAAAAGTCCAATCGGTTGACTGCAGGTTGAGTTATGTGTGTGCGTCTCTGTCGTGCTTCACTCTTCCTTTGAAGCACAGGAAGAGCGAGAGGAGGATAAGAATTAATTAGCTCTTCAAAGCAGAGCATGTTGATGTATTCCCACTGTGTCTCTGTCTGCAAAAGTCTTGCATCACGGCTGTTTATCGTACTCTTTGTGGTAGCATCACACAAATATTGTAGAACCATGTAACTAATGCAGACCTTTATGCCACCCTACAAACATTACTTTAGTAAACACAGAGTCCTTGTTCAATAGCGTGTCCGTGACACTATAGCCCTATTCGGACGGGACTAGTTTTACAGGGGGTCGTTAGAGAAATTTGTGTTTCACAGATGTACTTGGTGATTTTAATCCCATCCGAATCTGCCACGTCTGTATTTTTCTCACACAACCTCTGTAATAATTCCAGAGCAAATTACCTACTGTTTTTCAGTGATTGTCTGTGATTGCCGGTGATATTTTTTTTTTCACAATGCGTTTCCCTGTGTGTTTTGGCCAACGTGAATTACCGTAGATGCTCTTACCGCGCGCATGTTTGATATACTTGCCTCCCGGCAAAACAATTAAAATAAAAAATAAATAACAATAATAAAATCAAGAGCCAGATCACGTAAACTGTTAAGACTGGCTATTGTAATATCAGGTAAGTTTACTCACGTTAATTTCTGCACTCAATTACATAATGTTTTAATTACATATGTACCTTTATGAAAATTAAACATGGGTTTACTACAAATAAATAAAAAAATAAAATAGTTAAACTTAAGTAACCACACATTAACATGGTTTTGCTATACTAGCCATTTAGCTTCACCATGATATTTGTAATAAAACTGATTATACTAATCAGCTAATCAATCCGAATGACTATAAGCAATGCACGCAAACAGAGCGTGGGCGATCTCTGAAACGCCCAGAAGTACAAAACAGACCCTCCCACCTCTGTAATAAACACGGAGATGCTAGTTCCGTCCGAATTGGTACATGAAAATCGCAGACGTCAGGTGATAAGAATCGAAACTCAAACGTTGTTTAGAAAACTAGTCCTGTCCGAATAGGGCTTATGACATATTTCTGTCTCGGTGCCCAGTGAGTCAGTGGTTTAACAGACAGCAGTTTTGTATGGAGGTGAGGAAACTGGTTCAGACTGATTCTTTCCAAGACACCATAATGTCATGTCTGATGATCTAGAACAAACTCAAGTGAGCTTTAGAGGGCTTCAGAGCTAAGAGAATATTTAAATTCAGTATTAAACAACACTCAACCTATTATGCTTCCACAATCCGATGAATTGTTGGTCAGGACAAGGGGTGTGTGATATGTACTGTGTATGATAATATCGCAATTATTGTTTTAGCAATGTGCGAGCTGACATTATCGATTGTGTCACAAACAAAAACATGCCTGTAGTGTGCGCTTTCACTGTGGCGTGTAGCCTAATTGAATGCCAGTAGAATGCCACCGAAATTCAAGATAAGCAGGGTTTTGTCTTTTTGTATATATAAAATGATATAGTTTAGTAGTATCACACAAGCAATAGTGCTGTTTCTTCTGAATATTTTACAGGTCAATAAACAATAAATTGTAATTTTGGGGTACATTTTATTGGCTGTTTTTTTTTTTTTTTCATTTAACATTTTTTAAATGACAACAGCGAAACGGTTTTGCATCTACAACCAACACATCTCATCACATTATTTATGCAATAGTAAATGCATTCAAGCCATATGATGCTAAGCTGAGCTGAGCATCTGAGCTGCATTAAACAGTCTGTTTAAATAGATCTAAATGCTTCTTCTGTGCCATTTCTTCAATTTTGTAGATACTGATACTGGTACAGCCCTGTAGTTTCTTATTACTAAAATTAATTTTACTGATTAAAGGTGCAATAGGTGATTGTCTTCAGAAACATTTTTTGTTATGCTGGTTGAGTGAAGTGTGAAGTCTCTTCACATCCGGATAGCAATCATTAAGTTAAGTGGTCTAAATGTATTTATCTGTATTTATATATTCTGTGGAAGGCGTAGGACCAAGAAATGTTCGTCCAATGAAAACGCTCTGTCCGAGCATTTTAAATTGTTTTCCTACCTGCCTGTCAACATATGTATTTGCATTCCTATGCGCACCCTGTTCGCGCAGACAGGATATGTCATCAGCGCGTTCACGCACGCTGTGCAGACAGAGCGAGAATGGCAGACAAACATCAACAAGCCGATCTTCCTTCATGGTATTGTAGTACTTTTACTAACTGTACTATAAAGTTTTCTCACCGGTGAATGACACATGATGTAGCCCAGCGGTTCCCAATTCCAGTCCTCGTGCAAGGGAAGCAGGGGAAATCCGTTGTAGTTTACTTCACTTCGGAACATTCATTCGCGGATTTGCGCTGCGCAGCGTCTTCACACACAGACGAAACTTACTAGAGAAGTGTGAAGTGACATAATATACCTCTGTAAATAAATACTATTTAAATTCACGTCTCGCACACTTTAATGCCCTTTGTATGGAACATATACGCTCGCTTCGAACTGGAATCATGGCAGAATATCCTGTGATGTCCACTTCGCTGATGTAGCCTATTGTTGTAATGTTGTCTCTGGTATTCTGGTCTGTGAGCATATATGCGTTCAGGGGGCGTGGCTTTGGACAGCGATTGCAGGGAGGGTGGGACGTTCGCTTTCAGTGCTATCAGGCTAAAGTTAGCATTTTCCAAGATCTCCTACTGCACCTTTAAATATTGGACAGTTGCTCAAAATGGACTGTCATAATGCAATTAAGGCCACTGTATTGTTCTGAGCCACAAGGTGGCAGCACTGCCACTTTTCAAATCAATGCCAACTCAAGGTGAGCTTAGGTGGGGCAGCTTTCTCTCTTACAGCACATGTTTGGATAAAACAGCATTTAAAAGGCAATTGTTTAGTGTCTAATGCCATATCTAACTAACAACCTCACCAGATTTTCATTTCATATCTTAAATGTCTTTAAAATGCTAAAAATGGAAACCACCAGTGTTCGTGAAAAAATTAAACAATGAGAAACAAGAAGCCAAAACTAAACTCATGCAAGCAGTAGGCTAACAAACCAACAGATGTATTTCCAAGAAAAAAACATCGTCTTATATTCGGGACAATACGGTATATTCTGTGGAAAGGCGTAGGACCAAGAAATGTTCGTCCAATCAAAACGCTCGGTTCGAGCGTTCACGCACGCTGTGCAGAGCAGACAGAGCAAGAATGGCAGACAAACATCAACAACCCGATCTTCCTTCCTGGTATTGTAGTACTTTTACTAACTGTACTATGACACATGATGTAGCCCAGCGGTTCCCAATCCCAGTCCTCGCGCAAGGGAAGCTTACTGTTTACAAGGGAAGCTTGAAGTTTACTTCACTTCGGGACATTCATTCAGGGATTTGTGCTGTGCAGCGTCTTCACACACAGACGAAACTTACTAGAGAAGTGTGAATTGTGACATACTATACCTCTGTAAATAAATACTATTTAAATTCACGTCTCACACACTTTAATGCCCTTTGTATGGAACATATACGCTCGCTTCGAACTGGAATCATGGCGGAATATCCGGTGATGTACACTTCCCAGGGCACTCACGGTCGAATAGAACAAACGTCGCACGTGATAAGAGATACATATGAAATGTGCAGAGCAGGAGGGCGCGAGGATTGGAATTGGGAACCGCTGATGTAGCCTATTGAAATGTTGTCTCTGGTGTTCTGGTCTGTGAACGTAAATGCGTTCAGGGGGCGTGGCCTTGGATGGCGATTGCAGGGAGGGTGGGATGTTCGCTTTCAGTGCTATCAGGCTAAAGTTAGCATTTTCCAAGATGTCCTACTGCACCTTTAAATGTAAGACTTTAAAAGATGCTAAAGGTAAAAATCCCCTTGAAATCATTTTAAGGGGGCAAATATTGCCTCCTAGTGGAAAACTTTGTCACTGCTATGAAACGCAAAGTATATGCAGAATATGAAAAGCTTTAGGAGTCAGCTCTCTATGACAGTGTACTAGCACAAAAAAAACACTGCAAAATAATGTCGATTATCATTATACAAAAACCCAGGAAATAATGGAGATGTTGTTTTTTTGTCAGTATCACACACCCCTTTTTAATTTCATTGAGAAAAGTGTCTTTATCACAAGTGGGTTTGAATGAAGAAGTTGAAAAATAAGAAGGATTGTTGACATCAGCAGAAAAGGAAAGTTGTTTCAGAGGTGGAGCAAGTTATTACATTTTGATCACATTTTATGAAGTAAAATTTTGATTTCATGTTGACTTTATTGATAACCATCCTTATTTCTCTAGTCCTAAGTTGAAGATGAATGACACCATTATATTTCATCTTTTGTCAGACACTCAGACACCTTTTTTTTTTCACTAGCAGGGTTGTGGGATATCATCATACACTTCCTTCAAAAACTGACCATTTGGAGGCATCTCGTTAGACAGAATGGGTGTTCAATTCAGACTTGCCCTCTGGTTAATGTGTGAAAGTGGCATTAAGATTTTGGGTACAGCTGTACAGTCTTTGTCCTCTGTGGTACTTACTTGGTGTCATGGTGATACAGAAAAGCTCTGGTCATGGTGAAAGTGATAGAGACCTTAAGATCCTCTATGCCTGTCTGCCCAAGCCTCATCTATTAATCCAGTTATGTCTCCGTCTGTTGAAGTCTTTTCCATGCTGTTTGCTGATAGGGCTTTGCAAGTCAAATATGAAAAGGCTCCCACTGAGCAAGCTAATGTCTTTGCCAGGCCATCAAGGTATTCAAGCTGCATGGCAGAATTCTAAAAAATCTGACTCCCCTGAAATAAATTATCTCTGGTTGACACGTTCAGGACATTATTTGTCTATATATATTATTAATATTATGTTTCATTTATTGTATTTTTCATGTGATTTATGTCATTCTAATGTAATAGGTCTAATTCTTGATAATATAAAGCATGACAATGTGGTTTCCAGAAGTAAATATTGAATGAAATTGAATTTAAACTGAAATCCTAGTGAAGTGTTACATTACCCGTAATTAAAAAAAAAAAATCACATCTTCACCAATAAAAGTCAGAATTACAGCAACATGTCAACAGTGCTCACGCTGGAAATGACTCAGTGTGTCACTCTTGAGACAACTTGATTTTGATTGGTTAAGTCTTGTGCCAAATATTTTTGCTGAAATTTCACCCTTTTCTTCTCTTCTCTCCTTTTCTCTAGGATATGAATGGTCTTGTAGCTTGCTGAAATAAGAACATCAGAAAAATAATTGTAAACAATAAAACATTTTAGTAGGCTGCATTCATGTTTGCTGGATAATTGAACAGATTTGGCCTCAAACGCAAGTTACTCAAGGATAATATTTCATTGGCGTATTAATGTTTAATGGTCTTAAATAAAAGTAATATCACCAAAGTTTTTGAAATCCCTGTAGACAAAAGAAAGGAGCTGCTGAAAACTGGGAGGTCAGGAATGTCTAAAAATGGCTAATGTGAACATAGACTTGAAAGTTATTCACAAAATGTTATACACCCTTCTGGCTGCACATATGCATTATTCATGTGAACACTGATAATCAGTTTGTTACACAACTCTGTTAATTTGCCTATTTACTCTTTTGCCCCCGGGCTACTACTTATTATGTAATAGTGTAGATTCGATACTGGTTTATCAGACCGCATGGTTAAGACATAGCAATATTCTGTTTTTTTTTTTGTTTGTTTGTTTTTTTTAACAGCAATATTCCAAACCGTTCCACATTTGTGTGCCCGTTCTGTGGCGCTCGCAACTTGGACCAACAGGAACTAGTGAAGCACTGCATGGAGAACCATCGCAATGACCTCAACAAAGTGGTGAGTGTCAGTTACCTTACAGTTTCAGGGATGCCAAGTACCACTTAATTAGAACAATAAACTGAAATGAAAAGTCTAGCATTTACTCACCCTAATGTAGACTGAAACCCATATGATATTTGTTCTTCTGTGGAACATAAAAGGAGATATTTAGCAAAATGTCCACTCTGCTCTTATGTTTTGTTTCTTTGTAGGTATGTCCAGTATGTTCAGCTATGCCTTGGGGTGACCCCGGCTATAAGAGCTCCAACTTCCTGCAGCATCTTCTCCACCGGCACAAATTCTCCTATGACACATTTGTGGTAAGAAGGCAAAAAGATTATACTTTATATTTATGTATTCTCCATTTTGTATTCTAATGCTCTGTTCCCAATATCATGTGAATAAACATCCAGATGTGTTACAGGATTAAGAATCTGGGAGGGAAATGGACTTAATAACTAAATTAATGTTACAGTGCAAAACACTGTAATGGTTCTAAACTAGATTTGTTTTCTTTATGCAATAGATGAACCTGTATCAAGGTGAAGTATGCCATTTCTTTGCTACTAGTGTCACCTGGTGGAATTACAAAAATGAAGCATATTTTCAATCCAACTTTGCAAATGCCCCTTACACGCCCTTTCGCCCATTACGATATCTATAGCTTGACAGTCAAGAACTAGCATGTGTGGCAAACGCTTGAATTTAGCTTAAAGGGATAGTTCACCCAAAAATGGAAATTCTGTCATTAATTACTCACCCTCATGTCGTTCCAAACCTGTAAGATCTTCGTTCATCTTTGGAACACAAATTAAGATATTTTTGATGAATTCCGAGAGTTCTCTGACCCTCCCATAGACGGCAAGGATCCTAACATGATCAAAGCTCAGAAACGTAGCAAGGACATCGTTAAAATAATCCATGTGACATCAGGGGTTCAACCGTAATTTTACAAAGCTACGAGAATACTTTTTGTGCGCAAAGAAAACAAAAATAAAGAATTTGTCTCCTCCGCATCACCCTAATGCCATTTTGGAGAGTATCACATACGTAAACAATGTATGCAACGTATGTACGCGGATATGTTGTTTACGTTCAGATCAAAGCATAAACAACGTAAACAGTGCATCCGCATACAGTGCTGCTAACACAGAACAGAATACGTTGTTTACGTATGTGATACTCTCCAAAATGGTGCCAGGGTGACGTGGAGGAGACAAATTGTTGAATAAAGTCATTATTTTTGTTTTCTTTGTGCACAAAAAGTATTCTCGTAGCTTCGTAAAATTACGGTTGAACATGGATTATTTTAACGATGTCCTTATACGTTTCTGAGCCTTGATCGTGTTAGGATCCTTGCCGTCTATGGGAGGGTCAGAGAGCTCTCGGAATTCATCAAAAATATCTTAATTTGTGTTCCGAAGATGAACAAAGGTCTTACAGGTTTGGAACGACATGCGGGTGAGGAATTAATGACAGAATTTTCATTTTTGGGTGAACTATCCCTATAACCTTGGAGAAGAAACTCTGCAAGTCTCGATTGAAACCCATACATTCCATCAAATTCCTCCATCTTCTAAAAGCACTGCCACTGTTTACCCTTGTTTTACCTGGTTGCCATATTTTTGAAATTTTCTCTTACACATCTGTAACCAAATCTGAACTTGTTTTTCCAACGAGACATATCAGCCGTCATCCCACACCAGCGAAACACCCTCTGGCTCAGCCTGCTACAGTAGCCATGTCCCAAACTCTCACTATAGGTTGAGCTGGAGTGGACTGCTCTAAATGATTTGATGGGGCCTGGGAAGCTCAATATATATACACTTTTGGGGGAGATAAACCCATGATTGTTATACATACAGTAGTCAATAAACTGTGTTAAGCAAATGTATTTTGACATTTAAAAAAAATCTTCACCAAGATTCGCCCAAGAAAAGCAACTTTTCACTGTTTAAGTGAATCTCATTAAAAAAAACCCCATCTTGGTTACATTTCATCTAGATCAAGATATTTTGCATAAAGAAAATGAGACCATTAAAGGGGTCATATGATGCTTTTTTAAAGATCATTATTTTGTGTAGTTGGTGTAACAGAATATGTTGAAAGCACTGCCACTGTTTACCCTTGTTTTACCTGGTTGCCATATTTTTGAAATTTTCTCTTACACATCTGTAACCAAATCTGAACTTGTTTTTCCAACGAGACATATCAGCCGTCATCCCACACCAGCGAAACACCCTCTGGCTCAGCCTGCTACAGTAGCCATGTCCCAAACTCTCACTATAGGTTGAGCTGGAGTGGACTGCTCTAAATGATTTGATGGGGCCTGGGAAGCTCAATATATATACACTTTTGGGGGAGATAAACCCATGATTGTTATACATACAGTAGTCAATAAACTGTGTTAAGCAAATGTATTTTGACATTTTAAAAAAATCTTCACCAAGATTCGCCCAAGAAAAGCAACTTTTCACTGTTTAAGTGAATCTCATTAAAAAAAAACCCATCTTGGTTACATTTCATCTAGATCAAGATATTTTGCATAAAGAAAATGAGACCATTAATAAAGAATATCTCTTTGGTTTTTAGACTTTATTCTTTGCAACTTCAGGGATCTTATCTATGCACAATCAGCTTGTAACACTCCAAAGAGAAAGGAAAACTTGAAATCGCATCATATGACCCCTTTAAGTGACATTATTGTTGAGCACATTTTCCCTCCAAAATTTGCATTACTGTAATACGTGGACACCGGGTTTTTTTGTATTTATTTTTTTTATGAAATTCCCACTATTCTCAAAGGTGATGCAGTAATTTCTCTACAACAAATTTTACAGCTGAAATGTAAAAAAAAAAAAATTGTAATGGTTTTAAATGTTCTTAGTTTTCTTTAAACAAAATGTAATTTCTTTTAATTTTGTGGTGTAGTCTGACCTGGGTATGTTCTTTTTCTGTTTTTATGTCTATGTATGCAGGACTACAGTATTGATGAGGAGGCAGCACTGCAGGCAGCACTGGCCCTCTCACTGTCTGAAAACTGAGAGTCTGACATTATATCCTGTTCCACAAACACAGCCATGTGAAGGATCTTCTCACCTGTCTTGTTTTAGGCTGAATATTTTCATTGTTCCTCTGTTTTTCTCTCACTCTACCTCTCTTCTGGTCTATATTTCTGAGCTACACTCCAGCTAGATTTTGAAGTAGCTCTATAGCTTGTTTGCCAGTTGCATAACATTTGAGCAAGGTTGTCACTTCCTGAATTTTAAGGGGAGGAGCTTCTGGTTACTTATCATAATCATCATCATTATGGTAACCATGAAAACATCAACCAACAAAACATTGATGTATGCAAAAGTCAGACAAAGGAATAGATAAATATCACCATGCTTATTCTTGTTGTTCTTCCTATTGTTTTCTATCCAAATGTGACATAGACCCCGGCAATGAAGTGAAAATCAGTACAGAGGGATCAGCGTTTAAAACAGTGCGTCATGTTAAAGCGAAGTTGACAAGTGTACTTTGTTGGGGTTGGCTGTCCTCGTGATGAACTCTCATCTTTAGGCAATACCAATAGAGAGAATGAGAGACCGATCTTCAGCATCCTCATTATCACTCATTTCATCATTTATGGAATTCGGAATACCATCTGCCCTTTTTTAATCAAAAGTTGATGTGAATACTTGCACTCGTCACAGTTTTCTACATGTCTGAATTCTAGTATCGTTGTTCTTTTATAGTTCAATAACAGAATATTGACAGGACTGCATACTCTGCTCTTAACTTGCAACAGTAATATTTTCTAAGAAGCGTCAGATAAGATTAAAATTAATATTTTTGGAAAAAAGTTTCAGTTTTAAATGGTGCACTAATAATAAGACGGCAAGCTTCTAGAGGTGTGCTGAAACGTTTTATCTTTTAATGTATCCATTGGTACTGTTCATCTGTAACACTCACTAGTGCTGAGTCCTTTGGGAGATTTTTATTTACGAGTTCCGTAATCTTAATTATAATGTGACGTGAATTCAAGCGATTTGGTCGGAATAAGATGGATTCATTGGGAATGTTTCTTTCTCTCACTATCATTTACCGATAAAACATTGAAAGCTTTTTAGCACATATTTTATCATTATTGTGCTGCCACAGAAAATGATGTGACATTTTTACACACTTAATGATCACCAGGTGGCCAAAGATTGATTTATTAGCATGGCCAAGTTAGCCCGCTGGTTAAATTTACACCCTCTGCTTTTTAAAAGCACCCCTTTCCATTCAAAATTATGATGTGTGAATTAATTTTCACAACTACATTGCATTATGATCAATACCAGCTTCCGCCACGATTCTTGTATTGAAAGGCATTCATGTCAACTAAATACAATTATTCCAACGTGACTTGAAAGCAGCATCGATATGGAGAAACTTGAGAACATAATAACAGGAAGTGGAAGAGTGTGTAGTTGTACACTTTGGCCACAAAGTCATTCAGAGCGCAGGCTCGATATTTAAAAAAAAAAGTTTTTGTCTTTTACTACTACTGGTAGGGGTTTTTGTACTTTGTAAGTGTTGAATCCAAGCCTATGTACGGTGTTAAGAAGCACTGATGTTTAGAGGAGCGCTGGTGTGATAGGGTTTGGCATTAGGGATCTAATATCCCTACTTTGCAGAGATATCTAACCATGTTTTAAGATACACCTTGAGTTGAGCGTTGAGCGTTAGGAGAGAAACATACTCTACACAGGTACACAAATGTGAATGCCAAAGCGTAGCGCAATGTTAATGTTCTTTGTTTTCCTTTATCTAAAAGTATTTCAAACCAAACAAAGTATTAAAATATGAAAAACCAAACATGTTTCCTGGGAAGTATTCAGGAATTTTGGTGTTATTACAGTATAATAACTGGCGTTAATAAACCACAGTACTAAGAATGTGATAGTCACCTTCAAATGTGTGTGCTATTAAACTGGATGTGTTTTAAGTAGCTAGCTATAAACATATTGACTTTTATCAGACAAGATTCTTGTCAAATTGTTGTTTCGCCATGACCATACTTAACATAAAAGAAAACTGCTTAGGCTAATATCTGCTGTATTGCCATTACGGTAATGCTGTGAATAGATACTTATATTATGAATTGTGCTCTGGCACATTTTGGAATAGAACTATAGCTCGAATCATTTGCATTTATGTACCTGCATAGAGTTTGTTACAGGTCTACAATGACGTACTTCAAGCTTCTGAGTTTCTGTGGCACGCTTAGTTTGGCAGATTTGTTTGATGCTGGTGCATCATTACGCAGTTGATATAGATTTGATAACTCTGCCAGATGTAGTGGTTTTGATATATTTAGAGCCAATCTTGACAAAAGAGTGGAAGACCATTAGAGCTGGTTGGAAACATTTGTTTCTAAAGTTACCAACTTTTTTTTTGAATAAGATTATGTTTCAACTTGTGATTCATTTCTGTGTTGATGAATGTTTGTTTAATCTATTGCAATAGAGCTATTGTGTTTATCTCCATTTTGTGAATTACTGTTATTTTAGCAAGGTTAAGCGTGTCACAATCATTGTCTAATCTGAAACTCAGTGGCCAGGAATGAACTAGGTCTGCAGCATGAGAGTGACTCTCCATGACTTGGAAGAAAGGAACATTTATGAACTTGTGTGATGTGAACAGTCATTTGTTAAGTAGCTAGCTATAAACATGTTGACTTTTATCAGACAAGATTCTTGTCAAACTGTTGTTTCGCCATGACCATACTTAACATAAAAGAAAACTGCTTAGGCTAATATCTGCTGTATTGCCATTACGGTAATGCTGTGAATAGATACTTATATTATGAATTGTGCTCTGGCACATTTTGGAATAGAACTATAGCTCGAATCATTTGCATTTATGTACCTGCATAGAGTTTGTTACAGGTCTACAATGACGTACTTCAAGCTTCTGAGTTTCTGTGGCACGCTTAGTTTGGCAGATTTGTTTGATGCTGGTGCATCATTACGCAGTTGATATAGATTTGATAACTCTGCCAGATGTAGTGGTTTTGATATATTTAGAGCCAATCTTGACAAAAGAGTGGAAGACCATTAGAGCTGGTTGGAAACATTTGTTTCTAAAGTTACCAACTTTTTTTTTGAATAAGATTATGTTTCAACTTGTGATTCATTTCTGTGTTGATGAATGTTTGTTTAATCTATTGCAATAGAGCTATTGTGTTTATCTCCATTTTGTGAATTACTGTTATTTTAGCAAGGTTAAGCGTGTCACAATCATTGTCTAATCTGAAACTCAGTGGCCAGGAATGAACTAGGTCTGCAGCATGAGAGTGACTGTCCATGACTTGGAAGAAAGGAACATTTATGAACTTGTGTGACGTGAACAGTCATTTGCTTCCATAAATACCTTGCTGTCAGTTTCTAATCATTTAGAAAGTTTAATGTGTAATCACTTAAAGTGATCTTTCCTGTATGGCTTTCTTAAAAGCCATAGTAGAGTTTGTATTGATTTCTTTAAGAATAACACTGTGTCCGAATGGGATGACAAAATCTTCCGTGCAAATCCGAGTTTTTGGCCAAGTTATGAGCATTGCCACTCAGAGTCCAATCTCAAAGATGTTGTCTGATTATTGCAGTAATTCTGTTTGAGCGTGAATAATCGTCAAGTTTGTTTTGATTTGCTTTTGTATTTTTGGTTTTTCACTTCCAATGTGGACAGACGAATTACAGTACATCTCTGGAAGTTTGTCACATCTCGTTGGGACACAGTGTTGGATGTCATTTGTCTTTTGATGTACATTTGTACTGAATACAGGGCCGTTTATAATTGTGTAAGGCCTTCTGGGTAATGTTGGAATGTCCTTGTTGGTATTTATTAAGAGGTCTGTAAAGAGGCTTATACATTCATAGTATAAGTGATCACTTTTTTCTTCTTTTTTTGGTTAGATTGTACATAAAATGGCAAGACCGCCACATTTTTTTGTGGCTTATGTTGTTAATTTGGATTAAGGTGCAATCACTTTTTCTGCTAAGATGCATGTTAAAAACATTGCACTTTAATTAACTCAAATGTCTTTTGATGATTGAGTAGGAATTTTGTTCCAGTTATTTAACGTGACTAACTGCCAAATGTGTTTTACAAGAGGCAGATCATTTGTCGTGTGAAAAAGGTAGGTCAGGTAAAAAAAAAAAAAAACATCATACATTTTCAGAAATGCTGTCACTTTTCAGAAATTGGTAATATTGTATTGTTATTTGCAAAAGCATGATGGCAACAACAAAAAAAATCCTCACAGTAGTAAAAACTAAGCAGAAGGAGCATTTTCAATTGTTTCCAAACAAGAATTGCCTACTGAATATGCGTTCATTGTAATTGTTGGCAATGTGTTTTTCATTGGCTTCTTTTGAGGTTTTACATGGTGTCAGTATTTTTTGGTCTTGTTTTGAAAGATTAAGATGAAATTGAAGAGTAGAAAGTAGAAAAAGACAACCGAGTTTCCCAGTATCCCAATGTTTTTACTCAATGATGTTTTTTTTTTAAGTGTCTAAATATAGTGCTCAAACAATATTCATGTGCACAGCTGTAGCATAGTGTGTATTTTTTTTTTTAAAGTGAAACTTTTGATATTGTACAACACAGCTCTCCAGTTCTGATACCTTTGAGAATTACCTTAAAATGTATATTTTTCACTCTTTTTGTATTGTAACATCAATGCATACTGTCACAGATAAACATTAGAGGACTTCTGCATTTCTTGTGTTGGTTGACGGCTGTCCACCAGAACAACATAAACAAACAATGGATGGCTCACGGTCTGTCTGTATATGAAACTTAATGAGTGGCCAAGGACTCAATGGAGAACAGTGGCTCAGAACTGTAGTAACATCTTATTATTACTGGAACAGTAAACGCTGGATGCTTGAGGATGAAACGTGGCGAACTCATGGACATGTGATGGTCTCGGTACTCAAGAGTGATGTTAGTGAATGCACCCGCTCGGCGGCATCTGTCCAGGAAACTTTACTGAGGAGCTGTGTTTTGTGCTGTCATAGGCAGAGGGCGCCACGGCCTCTCGGGTGCCTCCAGTGATCCGGTGGCTGCAGGACCGGCTTTTGTGTGTTTGCTCGGTGTGATTATGCATTCACGACTATGAATAATAATGAGATAACAGTAATAACATGGCTGATGTTAATGATGGTGTGCATTTTTGAAGCTGTAATACTGACTGAGGTTTAATAAGATACTTACACAGTGTATTTGTAGCAGTTTTCCCCTTAATAAAAACACAGATGCACCCATCTTTAATGGTGTTATCCTTTGGTGTAAACACTGTTTTTCCACAAGCAATTTGGAGGAATGAAAGAGATCCTTGGTTTAAAAAAAAAAAAAAAGTAAATATTCTATAATGTGTAAATATTCTGACCCAGCTTGAATATGGAATTATATGTTTATTAAGCTGTGCCACATTACCCAATGTTCCAAAACAGCTTTTATCACCCTATTAATAGTCAAAAGTTATATCCCCTGCAGAACCAGTTTCAGCAGTTGTTACAGCCTTGCAAAGTGCTAGTTATTTAATATGTACTATGGCAAACTTTTCACTGTAAGTTTAGAATTAATGTATTTATAGTTTGAAAAGATAACTGAGTAAACTTTGATAGGATCACTTTGTTCCCGTCTGCCTTATAAGAAATGATTCAATGCAAAATGGCAGCTAGCAGTCTAAACCAGTAACTATTTAATTATTTAAAGCGAATATTCTCATGCTATTTTTTTTTTAAACAGTTGTATTTATTGCATTTATGTTTGATTTAATAATACTTTGCAATTAGGTTCGATTTCCATTAGGTAAAATATGAACCAGAGTTATTAAAAAAACTAAATCTAAGATCATAAAAAAAATGCTAAGTGATTGAAAAATATTATATTTATTTTATTTCAGATAGTTTCTAACGAAACATTTTCATGTAGTTTAACTTAATGTACTAAAATAACTGAAAAATAGAACTGAAATAAAAAATGTATAAAAACAGAAATAAAAACGAATTCAAACTATTAACAAAAACTAATAGTATCCCAATGATACCAAAAATAAGTAAAAAAAAATCTTAAACTTATTTTATTTCAGCTAGTTCCCAAAGGAAACATTTCTCATTTTCATTTTTTAAAACTTGATATACTAAAATAATTCAAAATAAAACCGAAAATAATTTGAACTATTAATAAAAACTTCAATTGTATCTCAATGATACTAAAATAATAATGAAGAGGATTAATTAATTTTAATGTTAATTTAACACTATGAACGAGAATGATAAACAACTGTATTTTTATTATCTAACATTACCAAAGAGATTGCTTCTTTTTAGTTCATGTCACTGTAAGAATGAATGGGACCCTAAGTGTAAAGCGTTACCAGTTCATTTTATAACAGTAAAAAAAAAAAAATAATAATAATAAATGAGTAACTTATGGGGAAAAAAGCTTGGGAGGTTGGAGCATGTGAGAGATTTATTGCCTAGCTAAAGTGTCAGGAGAAAGTGCTTGATGTTCAGCACCAGCATAAAAGAAATACCGTGCTTTGGAGCGGTGCCACTACTTGACCTCTATGGAGGACCAAACCTGCAGAAATAATAAATAAATAAATAAAATAAATACATAAAATAATATAATACATAAAGGAAAAAGTAATAAAAAAATTAATTCAGGGTTATTTTATTACAAATTAACTATATTTGTTTTTATCAAGTCATTTATTCCTTTATTTATTTTCCTGTCATTTTATTTATTTATTTATCTATATATTTATTCGTTTTTAATTTCTGCAGGTTTGGTCCTCCATAGACCTCAGAGGTTAAAGGGCACAGACTGAAACGCAAATGCAGTGATCAACCTGTGTAGCAACAAAAAAAATCCAGATGGCTGAACTACAGGAAAAGGCCTCTAAATGTTACTGTGCTGCACCTGTTCTGGGGAACTTATTTTCCACAACAAGTTGACAGATATAACCAACTCTTGGCCCCTCCTTACCAGAGCAGAAGAGCGCAGTGCTGGTGCTGGGGTAACAAGTGCAATGCATTACTGTCATGCACTGTGTGTCAATGGGTTGTAGGAGCTTGATATTTATATACTCCCAGCACTCAGTGTGGAAAATATTCTGTAAATCTCAATCACTATAAGGCTGCTCCGAGAACCCCTGTAAAAATATCTGCCTGGAATCTGTTCGATAAGCTAAATATAGGTGTGCCTTGCCTTAACCGTGGGTAAAATTAGCTCCTGGAAATGTTATAGTGTGCCACTATGCAGTTTAGTTGTGAGCTTATTATAAAAAAGATTTCCTAATGTTTATGCCAGAAGAGTTTGTATAGTGTTGTAGCAGTGCCGGAATAAACTATAATGTAACAAAGATCAATTAAATGTATAACATGAATGTATTTGACCCTGGACCACAAAACCAGCCATAAGGGTCTATTCTTTTAAATTGAGATTTATAAATTATCTGAAAGCTGAATAAATAAGCTTTCCATTGATATTTACGGTAGGAAATGTACAAAATATCTTAATGGAACATGATCTTTACTTGATATCCTAATGAAAAAAAAATCGATAATTTTGATCTATACAATACCTGTGCGACTTGCGACTGGTTTTGTGGTTCAGGGTCACGTTTATGTA